GAGAGAGAGAGAGAGAGAGAGAGAGAGAGAGAGAGAGAGAGAGAGAGAGAGTAATTCCGGCAAATACGCCGCGTTGGGATTTACGCCGCAGAAATCAGAAAAAATAGAAGGAGTAGGAGTAATTTTCCCACATTACTTTGTTACATGTCTTTATGTTATATTAGTATTGTGTTATGATTTCAGTGTCTTATTGTTAATATTAATAATTATTGTGAGTTGAATCGATTTGTTATTGTAATAAGTAACGCTATCATAAATTATAATCTACATAAAATGATTACCGTAGGGCATAAAAGACTTAGTGCTTATTTCGTGATACATATGTGTAGTGGAATAGTAAAGCATGTTGTGTAACATAATACGAGTGCTTTGCTTTCGTATTCTTTGTTTAGTTTGTTATCTTGTATATCCCACCTTGCAATATACAGTATTTTTAGCGAACGGGATTTATGCCCAAAGCATATAAAGTGCGCAGATTGAATTCAGTGCACTAAATACAATAAATGCATGATATGAAATATGTATCTCATGTCATAATACTTGTAATACATATATGTAGGAAGATTGTAATTGTTATAAGGAATCTTATTACGATTTTTATAACAATTACTTTATATACCTATTTATCATTCTTATTCCTTAATAAAACTTTAACTATAAACACATTTTATAAATTTTTTGTGTCATTATACGTCTTATTTATATGCATTATTTGTAAATTTTTTATGAGCCATACATATCCCCCTTTCCCTATGAGTAGCTATATATTTGTAAATTTTTCATTCCTCCGTACATATCTCCCATCCCTTATGGGATATACGACAAAAATGCAAGGATTTCAAAAAGTTTATTTTTTAATATGATAAATAAATATTTTAAATTTCTAATATTTTTTTCATAATAGTAGACAGTATACAGTTTTTACTGATATAGTTTGTTTACTATAAACACATAGTAAATAATATTTAATAATTTAAGTTTTTATAAATGCGGCATATATACCGTTACCGAAGTTATCTTATATATGTATGTATGGGAAATATTTCTAATAATTTTTAAGTCATAAATTTTTTTCTAATATGATGTACTTAATAAATCTGATACAAGATTAGTTATTTATTATTTTTATTACACGTTGTAGAATTTTACCATGGTGGAAAGACTGGACATTCTGTAAAGGTTTGATAAAAGCAAACGATTCTATTTGGATGAAAGTGCTGGAAATATCTAAAAAGGAACATAATAAAAAAATTTTAGAATACTTGACCTGCTCTGAAAATTCTAATATTATTCAAATATATTTAAATAAGATGACGGACAATGTAACATTAGAAATCAATGATCGTGTTAATATTTTCCTTCGTATTATCGCAAAGCATGCAAAGAACATTGAAATATTGAAATATATATTGGAGAATTTCGAAAAAATAAAACCCAAGTATGATATCTCTTTTCAAAATTATAAATTTATAAAATGTTTAAATTAATATATGTATGATAAATATATATTAAAAATATACGTAATACATTTCCAAGTAACACTCAGCGCCAAGACGTTAAAAAAAGCGCTAAAAAAGTATATAAGTGTTTTTTTAGCGTTTTGCAGACGCTGCTATGCTACTTGGATTCTTATATACAGTTGTTATTTTTTTTCTACAGAGAAGTCAATGTGCTTGCGGCATTAACTGTTATTCTTAATCATGGAAATATTGAAAAGCAAGAAAACATGGTAAATTATATGCTGTATTTACTTATTATACAGAACCTTTTTAATAGTGAAGAACTAATAGTAACAGGATATATTTAATATATCTTATCCAATAAAAAAATATCTCAGTATGTGCGAGCAGAACATTGGACATTTTGATCCAATTAATTTTTTTTTTTAAGATTCGAGAAATTTCATCATCCTATTACATCTTGTTAACATATAATATTTATTTTATATCCTACTTGTTCTTTTACGTTTCTTACTTTCAACAATAATCTCCCTATTAATACATAAATATAAATTTGATTGAAATATTAAATAATAATGAATACGAAAATAACTTGTTTCAGATTTTAAGTAAATTCGTAAGGTATCTGAAGGAAGAACTAATAATAACAACTATTCAGTTTAAGTTATTTAATCGAAAAAACCGACTTGAAAAGGTATATTTTAGGAATCCAAAAAATATACTTATTTTTAAACTATCTTGTTAAAATCATTTATTTCCTTCGAATGCTGTATGCATTGATAGATATATCATACACACATATATAGTATTTTAATTTAATTATGTTAATATGAGATAAAATTATGTTAATAAGAGATTATATTATATTAGAATTAATATTACAATTTTATAAAGTAAAACTGAATTATTATTATCGATGATAATTTATCGAAATAAATGGTTTTAGATACAGAAAATTATGTCAAGTGATTCAATGAAGGAAGATGTTATGCGTAATAAAGAAAAACCAGAAATACTAGTAAAAAGTACCAAAGAAGAGGTAAATTTTATTACATATTAGGTGTAGTAAAAAGTCATCGCGTATTTTTTAGCTCAAAGTTGTATATACAATATCTTCGTCAATAATGAATGAAATTCAAATTTAAAAAAAGGGTTTTAAAGCTTGAAATCTCTACTTTTAAAAGCTTATCACATTTTTTAAGTTTATATGAGTTTGATAATTTTTACATACCAAAAACTACGAGCTGAAAAAGACGAAAAATTTTCTTCTCACTTTGTGGATTTGTAACGTGTCCAAAACGAATTTGAGAAAATTTTCGATTACCTATCGTGAAAGCTTGATACTTTCCCTACAAAATCGTTTTTTTTAAATATTCCTACGACTTTTGATTACTGAGTTATCGCGGATTAAATAAAAGAATTATTTTGACTTTAATTGCTCATAACTCCATTAAAAATTGTCGTATCGTATAATTTAAAAAAGAGATTTTTAAAGCTGAAACTTTACTCTATCAAGATATATTTATATTGTTGGTAAGAAAGTAATTGCGGTTTTTACTGATAGATGTCTTTTAAAAATACGCGATGACTTTTTACTACACCTAATATAATGTTCACATAAAATTATTGATGTCACATGCAAAAAAATATGTATATGTATGTTCCCTCCATGTGTATATATACATGTCCCGTAATTTATCTAACAACATTTGAGCAAGTAGAGCGAACTAAACTGAGTCGAAAAGTCCTCTATCATTTTGCAATTTTAGTTAACAAGATATTAATTACTAAAAATTGCCGAATATTGGTCTTCAATAATTTTTTTTCAAAAACTGTTAGAGACAAAAATTATTTATTTTCTTCTTATAAAGTTCTGAGAATTTTTTTATAATTTTTTTAGAATTTTTTATATCATATTTTCTCATTGGTCAAAATAAGAAAATGCAGTACTAAAAAGTTGATAAAAAATTCTGAAAAAATGTTTCTATGACAAGAAAATAAATGACTTTTGTCTGTTGCAGTGTTTTTGTAAAGTTGATAGTATTTAAGTAAAAAATTATTTAAATAACCAATATTTGGCAATTTTAGTAATTAATATCTTGTTAATTGCAAAATGGTATAAGATTTTTTGATTCAGTTTAATCCATTCTATCTGCCCACGAACATTGTCGGGTGAATTATGAGACGCCCTGTATATACATGTACATATTTATTAATTTTTAATTGTGCTTATTTTTGTTTCGCGTTTTGTGTGGATGAGTGAATACACAGTAATAAAAAATACAGTACAATATAGAAGAAATTTGTGGACAGATACATAAATGTACTGCATAACGCGTACACACACACATACACACACACACGCGCGCGCACACGCACACACACACACACAATACTATACGTATATAATAGAAATAATTATTTTCAGACGCGTAATAATATTTTGAAAAAGACTATAGAACAGGAAATTCAATCCATGCATGCGACTATTTTAGAAATATATGGAACATTGAAAACTATGTATCATAAAATGCGACTGTTTTTTCACTTTGCTTCATTCTTGACTATGCATATATTAATAATGTCGATGAATATCCAAGGGTTTTTAAGACATATAATAAATTTTTTTATATTTATAATATTAAGTCCATTCATACTTGAGATAATTTTTGTGGCCATAATATGTTTTCTTTTATCAAGTTTGTACAGTGTTTTTACTTATATTATAAATTTGAACTGACGAGCATAGCTAAGATTGCTTTAAAACAATATTTATAATTTAAGATAATATCTTTAAACAATCAAGACTAAAATTGTTTTACCAATTGTTTTAGCACAAAAAATCAGAATAGCTTTATATAAACTATTTTTACTTTTAAACTATATATAATAGTATATTTCTGTTTTTTTCTCTAATAATGTATATGACAATGTAAATTAGTATATTAATATGTAGTAGAACATAAAATTTAAGATTATTAATATTTTTAATATTTATAATAGTTTAGAATATTATATTCTAATTTACGATATATTACTTTAATATGTTTTATACTATTAATCTTGAGTTACTAATTTTTAAATAACTAGAATTGATTATAATATTATGATATGATCATATAATTATTTGTTTTACATAATTAATATAATTAGTAAAACATTAATATTTATCGTTAATTATTGAGTAATAATATATTCTCATTTATTATTTACAATAAATTACGTAGCATTGTTTTACATTATTAATATTATTAATTTATGAATATTTTAATTATTTTAATTAAAACAATATATAATATAATAATATTAAATATTAAAATATTGCATAATCACAATATTATAATTATATTTTAATCATATATACTATTTATTAACACTTTGTTATTAATTGATATTTGTAATAATATGTTTACTTTTATAATAAATGACGGACATTTTATTTATGTTATTCTTTTCCTTATGTTTATAAGCAAATTATTTATACATAATATTATTTTCAACATAGAATTTATGTACTAATACATTTTAATCTATTGAATAAACAATGATTTTGGGACAATATTTTTCATTATTAATCAGCAAACTCAATATTAAAACAGTATGCGAACAATTTGTCAAATGATTTGAAAATTAATTTTGAATAATGTCTTACATTTTATCGGTAGAATGTCAAAAGAAATCTGGTAACATAATAATTAGCATGCTGACAGTACATGATGATAAAAACCGAATAAAATCTGCCATTTTGAATTATTGATGCCTTATGACAAAAAAAATAAATTTGTTTGTTGCCTATGTATGCATATTTATTAACTTCTAAATATACTTATTTTTGTGTTTTGTGTGGATGAGTGAATACACGGTAGAAATAAATACAATAAAATAAATGTAAGATGTAAAAGAAATCTGTGGATAGCCTAATACATAAATGTATTGCTTAATGCGTGTGTACACACACACATACACGCGCGCGCGCGCGCGCGCATAATGGAAATAATCATTTTCAGACACATAATACTTCGATAAAGACTATGGACAAAATAGAACAGCAAATTGAATCTATGCGTGTAGCTATTTTAAAAATAACTGAAATATTGGAAAATATGAATAGTAAAATGCTAATTTTTCGTTATATCACTTATTTTATAGCTTGGGATCTATTACTTCATATGAAAAGGAATATATTATTAAGAGAGCCATCGGAGTTTTCTATATTTCTATTTGTAATTTATTATTTCATGCGTCAGTTAACTCTTCTGTGAGTAATATTTATCATATTGATATATTTTTATCTTTCTCTTCCCGCATTCTTGGAATATTTAGAGGAATAATAAACGAAATATAACTTCTAGACTAGTGATAACTTTTGTCATTATTTATATTATTTATAATTCTAATTTTCACTCAATCAGATTTATTTGACTGAAAATGTATAATTTATTTTCTTACTAATGTTTTATTTAAAACTTTTTCTGATATTTGGAAACTTGTCTGTTAATGTCATGTTTATTTTTGTGAAATTTTTTAATTTTTTAATTTTGTAGAGCATTTTAGCTTATTTACTCAAATTATGATCGCATAATAAATTTGAACAAATTAGCAGACCTAAAATTGCTTTGAGAATCAAACAATGTTTTTAATATTGTACAATCAGAACTAGAATTGTTTTAGCAATTGTTTAGTACAATGGAAAATCAGAATAGCTTTATGTAAACTATCTCATTCCTATTTTTTCCTCTAATAATATAAATAGTAATATAAGTTAGTGTAATAACGTGTCTTAGAACATAATTTAGGGTTATTAATATTTTTAATATTTATGATATTCTCATATTATATTGGGATTTTCGTTACTTTACGATATTGTAATTTCTACTATTAATCTTAAGTTACTAATATTTAAATAATTAGAATCAATTATATTATCATGATGTGATAATATAATTATTTCTTTTTAATACAATTAAAATATTTATTATTAATTATTTGATGCTCATGATATATTCACATTTTTTATTTATAATAAATACGATATTTTACACTATTAATATTAATTATTATATTTTAATTATTTTAATTAGTATATATATATAGTAATTAAAATCATTATATATAATTATATATTGTAACGTAAAATATTACATAATCATAATGTTATAATTATATTTCATTCATATATATGTTAGAACAGTATGCAAGCAATTTGTCAAATGATTCGAAAATTAATTTTGTATCGTGTCTTATATCTTATCGGCAGAATATAAAAAAAAATCTACTAATATAATAACAAAATTTCCTAACAGTACATGGTAAGAGAAGTCACGGAATAAAATCTGTTATTTTGTCATTATATAAATGATATCTTCTATTTAAATAATTACGAAATATAATCCTAAATGGAAAGGCAGTTTAAATGACGGTGTGTCGGAATTCCCTAAAATGTAAAAAAAGAGAAACCTTAATACTGATAATGTTCAAACTGGTTACAGACTGCGTACAGAAGCGCGTATGACACGTGCTTTCTATTTTTTTCAACAACGACTGACCATTGTCAGACGCGTATGTAGACATGTGTCGATTAGACTGCTAAGGAAAATTGTGCAAAGTTTACAAAAAAGAAAGTTAACGATTCGAAATTCTATTGAAAGTTTTCTGATGGGATCGTATTCTACTAACCGATCTAATCTCCATTCTAAGTTTCCCTGGGTCCACATTACGCAAAGGTGGAGCATACGACGGGAGACAATGAGTGTTATTATTATATATTGAACATCTGGAGACGCTCGACAAATCGAAAAAATTCTAAAAAGAATACACATAAGGCAGAGTCAAACTCTACTGAAAAAAAATCACTTAAAATTACATAACGAAATCATTTAATTAAAACAACTAAATCTCGTAACTGATTATTCTAAATCAATATGTGATTTTTTAAAATCACGTAATTTGAATAATAACACAATATTAGAAATAATTTTTTTTATTATATGATTTTATAGAAATTTTAAATAATTAAATGATAAAAATAGAGAAAAAAACATATCATGTAATTTTTCAAAT